ATCACGTAATTAATTTCACTGGAATCTGTCGGTAAGGTAGAAACTCATCTATAGCGTGCTTGAATTGATAAGATGGCGGTGGAACCCCCCAATGAATTTTCCTTGCGCAATATTGAGAAAATCCAAAATTCTGCGGTTTCCACTCAGGAATATTGACGTAGAAAGCAAATGAAGTAGGTAACAATAAAGAAAAGAGTAAGCCAAAAGTAAGAAGCCAAACCATTTTTCAAAGTCAAAAGGTAATGCGTAATTTTTGTTACATACCGAAAATGGCGATGAACTTGTAAAATATATCCCCAACAGCGTCAGCGAAGTGTCGAAAGCAAAATAACAAGAGAAAAACCATACAGCTACAATAAATCCCAAAAGGCAGACAAAAATGGCGAGCAACCAGGGTGGCGTGTACATTCTTCTTAAAGCAATAAGTGAATGTCGTTTTGTACAACAAGTGCGTGCGCCGAAAAGAATTGAAAATAAATCTTTGCGCGACCTCCATCGGCAAAACATAGAACTAATAAGAAATCTATAACACTTGGAACAAATTTACTACAGAAACAACTTACATCTAAACTACTTGATTACAAAGGACTAGATGGCGTAAGAATTTAAATAAGAGCGCAAATCAAATATTTACTTAAGCGGTAAGAAAATAACGCTACAAAATTCATGGCAAGCACTGTCGCAATAATCGTTGTCATAGATTTTAAGATATGCTTAAACAAGTCGAGCTTAAATTTGTCGGTGTAAATGGTCATAAATCGGGTAACGTATCGATTTTGATCTTGACGGGATATTTAAAATTCACGATTTATGTAACAACGATTCCAAATTTTATTGTCATAAATCAACCCAAAGTTTTGGATCTATTAATATCACATTATGACAATTTTGAATTTCATGGCCTATTCAAATATAATTATTTTTCCTCGGTTCTACCCACATAGTTTTTAATTTAGATATTATCCTAATTAACAGAAAAGGCGTCTACTTTTAATCATAATTGCACCTCCTTCGAAAATTACCAAGATTTTAATGGGACCTAATATTCGCATACCTCATTGAAATAAGATGTAGAAAACTAGAAATAAACCTGCATTTCACCCTTAACAATAACAATCCAACAATTTCCAACGCAGCGCAATGGAAAAGAAATGAGACGAGTTTTCTGAAATAAGAGGGTGCGACACATGTAATAATGAAGGGCATTGTTTACAGAGTGTGACGTCACTGTTTGCAATGTCCAACATATTGCGGCCAAGTGAGGCAATTTCCTATCAGTGTATATAACGAGCCCTTAGAGAATGTTATATATTCTCTGTGGATAAATTGTACACAGTGCGTGCATACCTGAATTTGGTTTAGGCAATTAATGTACCTACAAAAAAATTATTTCATTACGTTTGCGTTGCTTATTTTTTAAATTACGAGCAACTTTAATTTTTGTAGCAACGACTAACAAAATTAATATTTCAGTCATAAATACATAATTAATTTTGATATGCGAGCTGTTCTTAAGTTTCAATTTTAAACTTCATCTCATCACAAAACTCTTCAAAAGGGTTGTAGAAGAGGAAAATGACGCAATGCAAACAAGAAGACGAATCTGCAGCGCTTCCTTAATTAATAAACTTCTGCTAATGAAAGAAATAATTAATTTCTGCCTGCCAGTACTGCGCCATTTTACAGAAAATCTAAAAACTTTTAGTAACTTTATGTATCGTTTCAACACGACTCAACTAAAAACATTAATTAAAGTCCATTAAAATTTTATGAGTGCTACTAGTTTGGTAATACCATAGAGTGAAAAATGGACATATCACGCCGTATAGGTATAAAGTTTTGTCACCAAGGGACTATCCTTGAATGTAGATGGCTTTCAGAAGATCAAGTGTCTCTCTCTTATTTATAGTAGACTTTTAAATCTGCGTAAAAAGTTGACATACCTACCTATAGGTACGCAGAAGGCTTGCGTTTGGTTTTATATTCAAAGATATTATATTTAAACCTAATCTAAGTACCTGCCTAATTGGGACTGTAGATCATGTATCTTTTCCTGACTTGCAAGTTGCAATTCTGCATTAAACTTTGTAGGAACAAATGCAAAAATTAATTCAAAGCGTTCTCCTTAGGTCTCCAAGGAATTTGATGTTGATGGAATCTGGGGTTTACACAATTAAAATAATTTGAATTTTCCTTTCATTTAATAGTTAAAAATGGAGGATTCGCATCATACCAAAATTGTAAGGGCATATTGTGGATTTACGAAAAGGGTCATTTCTATGTAATCTATGAAAGAAAAGGAATGTAAGACAAAACAAAATTTATTTTTATGTCTTCAGTGTTCTTGCCTACAGAGGCCTACCTGTTCAAAAGGAATATGACTTGCAAACTAACTGCAAGAAGGATGCGTTTCTCTCTCCGTTCTCGAGGTATTTTGATTTGTAGTTTTGACCCTCCAACGCGCACTTCTCGCCTCAATCCCAGACGCCAGATTGATAGGCAGACAGAATAATATAATACATTTGATTAGTCAAAAACCTTAAACAAATCAAATTTAATCCGTTTCCATAGATACAATGAGTTTTGCTAGCAAGTACTGAAACAACTAAATTGGGATATCCTAGGTCAATGTTCTGTAAAGCCACAATTTTTAAAGTAGAATAAATAATGCGAGACAAGGCTTTTTATTTGGAATAATTCTTATACTATACGATAAAAAATGAGTTGCTGTCGAGTCAGCACCTTTGGAATTTTTGTTTACATAGGAAATTGTACTTAACTGGAACTTCCAAAGGCGACTCGGCAGCAACTCATTTTTGATCGCCCGACCTAAACAAAGGGATGTCAAAAGTATACCCTGGAATAAGTATAATTTTTTATTGAAAGCATACTTAAATGAATTATTATTTTACTATATTTCATGAATGGAAAATGATTTCGACATGCCGTTTTACGCAAATGTAGGTATGTTTATACTCTTTCATTCTATCATTGAATAACGGCTTAATTCAATGATTCTATGCCAAAAAAAAATATATATACCCTTACATTTACATTTTTACACCGTTAGGTGTATCCTTCCTTATATTTCAAGAGCGTGTACTCATGTAATTTTTTAAAACATTGCGCACAAAGATTGAGATTGAGATTGAGAGAGAGAAATTGAGCATTGTAAGAGCCTATTGCCATTGAATAAGTACTTCATATTCAATGCTATTGCTAAACTAACGAGATCGTCAGAATAAGAAAGTAACCGATCCAGGACTACCGTTACCGTTAAAAAAGTCATCGTGTGAGATCGAAGAGTTCTTTCCTATGACACCAGCTTGAAAACAATCGAACCACAACTGTAGAAGAAGATAGGAAAAAACTGAAAAATCGCCACGTTAGTAACCCACGCTCGAGGATGGCGCCCAGATGTCGCCAACCCCACGTTATGTGGGCTCGTCCCTAAAGCTGATAATTACACTCCTCGTGTTTCTACACACTTTTTATATCGTCTATTCCACTAAGGGCCGATTTATAACGGACATCATTTTTCCCCATGTATATACCGAGAATAAGACATACCTAGAATAAATGTTGACGGTTGCGTTGGTTACAATATTGTGTCAACCAATGGGATACATATTGCTATGGTAGTTATTTCAAGCATATCTTATTCTGCGGAAAAGTGTAATTGTAGAATCGGCCCTTAGTAAGGTATATTGTTCTAGTTTGCCGGGGGAAAGTGTTGTACGGAAGATGGGTTTGTATTTTCAGAACCGAAATCACAACCGAAACCGTAATTCCTCCCCTTAAAAAATTTACTGAGAACCGGAACTCATAATTTTTTTACGATTTTTACGGGTTTTTTGTGTTTTAAAAATTTTTATGGGTATACCTGCTCGGAAAAGAGGGGGGGGGGGGTAATTTAGCTACCACTATTTTTTAAATAAATTTGTTGAATATTTGGTTTTTTAGTCTCGACTTTTCTTAGTTACCTATCACCCCTTTTTTGTGTGAATACGATTTGCGAAATAAGAATGGGACGAACATCATCCAACAATGATCATAAACATTTTGTCTATGATAATACTAACAAAATATTTTCTGTCTTTGTCAGTCACCCTGTGATATAGGTTCATCTCCCAGCCAAGTCCACTGTAATTTTGAAACAAGTAAGCAGCTAGGCAGGCTTCGGTTTGTTGCGTATGCATAATTGATAACCATTTTTCACTTGAAACCGAAAAAAACCATTGTGAACTAAAAAAAAGATTCAACATAATGATCTTTAGAATAAAAAAAAACGTTATCGGAACCGTAATTATTTTTAGAACCGAAACCCTTATAAATATTTTTGCAATATAGGTGTCAGAACCGGAACCGTTATTTTCAATAGGTCCAGATTCCTGTTATTCACACAGGCTGTTTAGATTTTCGTTATGCAATCTCCCATATTCAAACGAAAAATTTGTATTGGATCAATAGAGTAGCGTTGTATATTGACGCGTACTGTATATTTTATCCCAATTGTTCAAAATCCCAGTACAAAACATAACATCTAACCTCAATTTCTTGAATTTCATTTTTCAAATAGAGCCACTTACTTTATAAAAATTATTAATTTGTTACTAATGAGTGGGGAAGATGAAAAACAACCTGAAAATACTGATGAGGCAGAATATAGTGAAGAAAAACGCTATTTCAGTTGTAAATTATGTAATTTGCATGAACGCTACGATTACTTTGGGAAGTCTCCTGAATTTGTGCGTAACTACAAATTAAAAGAAGATTCCTATGTTCTTGAAGATCCTTTCGCTCCTCCAAAACGTGGGGAATATTTAATTTTAGGAGCACATTGTGTTCAGTGTAAAATATCAGTCTGTAAAGACAGTAATTGCAGTTTCTACATTAATGGCACTTACTGTATGCCCTGTGCTAAAAGTTGCAGATACAACTTTCCTAAACTTGTTCAAGAAAAGCTTAATAGAATTATTTAGATAAAGCAAGCTACTATATAACAGATCAACACATTTAATAGACTTTGATAATAAATAAATAATTATATCATTAATTCTTTGACAAACTAGTTCTTTCTTTTGGTGCTTCAATAGGCCACCAAAATGGTTTGGATGTCGTGGCAATTCCATCACCAACACAAATTTGACTAACACTCAACGCCTTCTCAATTCTTAAGAGAGCCAAGCCAACATTTCCAGTCACACCTCGTAACTTTCCCAAATTGGTACTCTCACTTATAATCTTACTGTCTTCTGGGATGCTTTTCAATTGGTCTTTAAAGTATAGGGGCATTAATCGTTTACGTACCACACCAGTATGATGGGTACGTGCTGTTAACTCCTGCCCAATGTAACAGCCCTTATGAAAACTTATGCCATGCAGGTAGTCACAATTAGCCTCCAATGGAAAGGAGTTGTCAATTGGTAGGTCATCAAGACCTTCGCCTACACCTAAAGTGTATCTAAGCCACTGATATGAGCGCTCTTGACTAGGATTACTTTCAACATTAAAAACTTTGGCTATTTCTTTGCGTAGGTCTAGATTTCTCGGAGCAATCAGTCGTACGCCCAAATTTGCCACACGCGGATCGCTATAAATGTGCACATCTTTAAACATCTTGCACGTCTTGGAGGTCTCTGGTAAAATTTCGTTCAGCTCTTCAATCGGTACAATCAACCCTTCTAAATGTCGAGAGATCTCATGCACACTCTTCCCACTGTCGGTGTGGTGTGGATCAAACATGGCATAAACACACATTTCTGTATCGACGCTACTTACATCAACTTTCCGTCGAACACGATACATTTTCAAATGCTTTTGAAACATCTCAATTCCACGACGATCGCATTCCATCAAAAACACATTTTCGCTAACGGTTCGATATAAAATGGCATCAAAAAGTATGCGACCTTTTGTGTTGAGGAACATTGTAAAGATACTTCCAGTACCATGTGACAAGTGAGTAACATCGTTGGTGATGAGACCTTGCAAATAATCGGCAACATCAGTTCCCGACACTCTTAGCAGGCTTCTCTCCGTTAAGGGCTCTACATTGTACTTCAGAGGTAAACTTGCAAACTGTCGTCGTAAGCAACACTGTATTTGATGCACCCTGCTCAGCATTTTACCCTAGAAATTTTATACGTCAGTAAAGTTTAACAATATCGACGGCTTGTAACAAACTGGTAAATCGGAAAATAATACACTTCTTTTCACATTACGAATTTGTTGACGAATTTTGTGAGGTTATTTAAGTGATGGGAGTTTTCAGTTTTGAGACAACAGAATTAGGATAACGTAATAAGCCAGTGGCGTCTCTTCAAGATTTACTTTAAGTCATGAAATATTTTAAATAATTTGGTTTAATTTTTTATTCACACATAATTAGTCAGATTGTGGGTCGTTTTATAGCACAATTCCATTTATTTCTGATAAGCTAGTAATTAAAATTGTTACATTATTAGAAAACCAAGAGAAGATAGAAGCGTTTAGAGAGACTTACGCAGAAAAAGAAGACAAAAGAAATTAATAATAGTTCCGGGATTAAAACTACCAGGGGCGGTTTTTAGGGGGGGGGCGATCGCCCCCCCCCCTAAACATACTGCTCAATTGTTTTTTTATTTCATTAGGTTTACATAATAATCGAATTAAATAGACTGCACTCAGCACTGATTACCACCACATAATAATTTTTTTTGTAGTGTTTTATTACTATTTGCAATCAGTATAAATAAAGTTACAATACTATAAGCAAATGCATTTGCTGGAACGGGGGTATATGAATATGGTGCGGATTTATGGCATTTTGTTTATACGTTAATTTTGAATGCAGAATGTAATGGTTATTAGTTTTGGATCTATACGTTTCATGAAAAATGAAAGCATTTGAGCCTATTTTTATTTTGCCTTTTTTGCTTTTTTTGAACAATGGCGCTTTAAATGCTTGTTGTTGCTTTTTTTTAAAATCATGCTTAAATTGGATTGGGATCATATTTGGCAAGTTAAGTTAATTGAATGTAGTACAGAATGTTGAGTATTCGGAAATTAATGCGGCAGTTTAACAAAAAAAACAGCTGAAATTGGGTCAAAGCTACTTAAAAAAATTCCCGCGCACCTCTGCATCTGCAATTCTGTAGCTTTTTTATTTTCGCCCCCCCCCCCCCCCCGAGTAGATGTATAAAACCGCCCCTGAAAACTACAAAATATCAATAAGAACTTCTGGATCTGCCGCCACTAGATCTGCACGTGAGAGAGCAGACCACGCAGGCGGCATCCTTGTGTCTGAAATATAAGGAGTTGTTAAATAGCAGAGATTTTGAGGTGGGCTACTCTCGAATTCTGGGCGATGCGATTAAGCGACTGCCTATCCTAGAAGGGTGATCTCACGCACTCCTCAATTCATATTAGAGAAAAACTATTACATGTTTCTTGATGAGGATGTGGCTCCCAACCAGACATATTCATCTTCAGGGATGGATCTAAAACAATGGAAGGAAACAGGCACTGAATCTCCATGCCTCGTCCTGCAAGGAGTGTGAGAACTTCCTACCAACGATTGGTCCATTGCAGTTTGTTTGACCATCCTCGGAACACAAGGAAAAGAATTGTATAATTTTTTCAGCGACCATAAACTCAGGTTTCCAAGGAATCCTGTGGTCATCCTTAACCGTTAAAATGCTTGCATTATAGGAGAACTGCATCGTGTTGGTTCTGCTAGCACGTATGAACTCTATTGATGCAGTTTTCCATCACCGTTAGATATCAATGTGGCTTATTTCCATTGCCTCGCCTCGCTCCCAGAATTCCTTCGGTCGTGAGGCGTACCAATCACAGACCACGTTCTGCGTCCGTCATGAAACGGCGACCTTTCAAGTGCTTCTTCAATATTCACGAGTCCAAAAACGTGGAAATCGCACGGCGACGTCTTAATCATGGTGGAAATCTCGTCCTCTATGACGTGTGTCTGTTGGTATTTACAGCCCTATCCACGCGAGAAATGTACTTTTCTGTAATCTTCACATTGGATTGTCCTCATCGCGCAAAAGACACACTTTGATCGTGCTACTTATCAGCGAATATGATATGAAAAAGGCAAAAGCTGGCAGTGAATAACGTGACAGAATTTGCATTGTTTTATTATTATTCTTGTCAACTTTCAAGTCTGATATTTGGATATTTCTAACAGAATGGGCGATGAGCAGCCGCCTGTTGATGATCTTGCCAGAAAACCGTCTGTTAATCATAAAGAGTCCCACGTTGTAGTCAACCCCCTAGCCGACACATATCCACCTCCAAAGAGCAGCATTGATGCCCCAAAGAAAAGTATAGCTATTGAAAGGTTTGTGGAAGTTATATGTCTAGTTAGACTTTCAGTTCTACCCACCTTTTAGGGCTGGGAGTGTGCGCGCAAGTGTGCGAGCAAGTGTGAGACGATTCACAACGGAAATGTCGAGGGTAAAACATAGAGGTGGGATTGTACGAAGAAGTATTGCTACTAAACATGTTTCAGGATAGAATTGCGAGAAGACAATCGGAAAGAGCAAGTAAATCGAGACTAGCGCTTGGAAGTATCATATCGTTTGGTAGAGGTGGAGTATATGGATTGGATGGTATCGCCTTGAAGGTATGATAATTAATCATTAGGTTTTTACCGGGTATTATATCTATCTATAGTTTTGAATAGTTTCGATTAGGGTTCTTATTTGTATCTATCTTGCTACAATTGGGTACACAAATCCAAAACATTTCGCAAAAGGTAACCCAGTAACTAAAATATACCGAAATTGTTAATTAAGCACTACCATTGTAAGAACACGTTGCATCTAATGCCAATTTTAAGTGTTTTTTGTTACTACATCTGTTCTGACCAATACCGACCTCAAATTGGAACACTTTTCCACAGCAGTATAAATAAAATGAAATAGACTGAAATTTAGAACGTTTCCTAGACGTTAAATTACTACCAACATAATACAACAATGTGAGAAAGCTTGCATGCCATCATGAAGGTTTATTCTTAGACAAACGTTGGAGAAGTATGACGAAAAAAAGAGGAGCTTTTCCTGATCTTCATAGACCTAGAAAGGACGGTACTGTTCCAAATAAGGAGGAATATCAGACTTAGGTCCGTCTGGTGAGTGTATGAAGGAGTTCCAACACACGAACCTAAAATCTTTCGTTGGAATGACTGACAGGTTCTCTCCTACATGGTGCATCCGAATCCAAACAGACTAGCGCGGGGCCACTCAAAGACACGTGGCATATCTCATTTCCCATTTCTCTGAAAACATCAAGTGAAATTTGAGATGTGTGGTCTGTAGCCACCACAGGTCCCCCAATCCATGTTCAACAATCTCGTCCATTTCTATGTTGCAAACATGACGTGTGGAATTCACGGCCACGCCTTCCTCCTCAAAAACGTCTACGTACAAACCAATTGAAATTAGGAACAAAAGCACATCACGCGAAAGGGTCTAACCCTTTTACAACCCGAGTGAGTCATAATCGATAGAAACTGCTGAGTCGGTTCTGCTGTACCTTGGATCGTATGTCACAGCACAGGAATTGATGAAATTGGAAGAAGATTACTAAAGTCTAAAGGACATAGACGTGCGATTCCTTAATAGCACCAAGAATCTTTCTTCAAGAACTTTCGAAAATTTGTGTGTTTAAAAGTTTTAGAAGTCATCTAGAGGAGCCTTGTGGAGCCTTTTTGGGCCCTTGAGAATGTAAGAATGTTTAAGCCTTCATGAATCATTAAATGTTTTTCCTCCAAGAGTTTTCTGCGATTTACACAGCTTTCTAGTGGTTTTATCTATCCTCTATCTATCCGCGGTAATTACCGGTCTTTAAGAGCTTTTAATAACCTTTAAGAGTACCTATTTAATTCCTGAAGAAGGTTTTCAAGAGTCTGCAAGATACTGGCATTTTAGAACCTTTACTAAAGTTTTATAATCTTTAACGCATAAAGTATTTAAAAGGAGTTAGGATCAAGAGACATCTTGAATAACGAAGGTTGTAAATATTTTCAATGGCATCAAAGAGTCTCTGAACGTCTTCCAGAGGCATTTCCTCTCTAAAAGGTCACCCTTTGAGAACTTTTGGGAGCCTTTGAGAGTCCTAAAGGGTCTTAAAGAGTCTTTAAACCTTCAAGGGCTTGATTCTAAAAGAATTCCTTAACATTTCACAGTCTTTAAGGGTTTCCAAAAGTTTTTAAAGGCAAGTGATTTTTAAGAGTGTTCGCCCGGAAAGGTCTTTGAAAGTCCAAATGTCCCTAGATCATCAACAGGTAGTCATTCGTTTACAAAAATAAACCGCGGTTATATTACACCAAGTAAAAGTGCGTCCCACAATCATTCTTTTGCGCCCCCACCCCCACAGGCAAATGGTTCAGAGGACGAGGCTTTTTTTTACGTACCTACGTCATTTCGCTGATCATGTTCAAACAGCGAAGTATCGTTTCGTTGCTAGGGGCAGAAAAGCGGAAAACAGGCAGAAAAATTTTACTTCCCTGCCTCCTCTCCACTTCTCTGCCTCTTCTGATTTCTATACCTGTGTTGACTAGCCGTTTATATACAAGAAATTCTAGCATACTAATAAAAAAAATTTAGTGTTTACCACGGACGGGTGAGATCCGCTGACACGTCGGAATTTCCGTACGAGGCGTCTCAGTGAAAACTCACTTCTCGTCCTTGGGAAACAATATACTATTTTATTATACCTGAATCACAATTTCCGTTTTGAACTCTCAAATGCGTGCGAAATTGGGGCTGTAAAACACACGTGTTTTAAAGTTGCTAAGTAATGACTTTAGAAACTGTTATCTGGGGTTGAACTGGTTTCGAACTGATGTTTTTTCGAACTGATGTTCATACCTTAAATTTACGCCATAAAGGGCTGCTTACACCACCTATTCATGCAACGGCAATATTTGAGAGGTCATTCACATAATTTTACGCAATGGTTTAATACACTAGGTATGGACATATCAGTAAGTACACTTTCAAAGCATTTAGAACTCGCATTATTTCGAAGTTGCTACGGCAATAATAATTAGAGCACTTTTGAATTTTGTTTCTATTTTACTTATCTTATTTTTAATATTTTTATTTCTTTTCTGTGATTCATTATCGATTAAGTGGAATCATTATGGGTTAGATGCAAGAGCAGGGGTAGACTTTCTACTGTTGAATCTCGCCCTAGGCAATGTATTTTTCGTGGCTAACCAAAACAAAATCAATAAAGACCGTTATTATTATTATTATTTTAAATAAAAAATCTTTTACCCAAAATCGTCCTGAAACCTTCATTTTCATGCCTACTTTCTCTCAGGAAATTTTAGTTTCCATGACAGAGGCAGAGCAGACAATGTTTCCTGCCGCTTGTCACTTTACTGGCCGCACCTGTCACTTTACCGGTCCCACCGTCACTTTACGCCGCATTTTTGACATTTACAAATGTCTATAATGGCTCGTGTCATCACTGACAGATTGACATTCATCAAAAGTTATATATAAAAATTGAAATTTTGTATTAAAAGACGATTTCGGGTAAATTTAATACAAAACTCGTCAGTAAAATGTCATTACCTGACGCGGAAATTAAAGTACACGGCCCCGAAGGGGCCTTGGACTTCAATATTTCCTTGCCAGTAATGTATCATTTTCCTCATTTTTATGTAAATAACTATTTAGGTCGCTTTCTGTAAATGCAAAACATTTTTTTGGGTTGTACCTATTTTTTGTTTGAAGCTTTCACGAACGCGCGTAATTTAAGGTCTGCTGCCAAATCTGTTCTATTTTTTAATCGCAGCATTGTTTGAAGTTTTGAATGAATGCACCAAAAGACAAAAGATTTAAATACCTAATTATAATAGGCTTTACTGTATTTAGATTGTACAAGCCATTTAATGGACGGTGTACTATCTTTTTCAACTAAAATCATTTTATTGACGAAGACAGTAATTTTTATAAGCAAACGTCAAGTGACATTTCCATGGCAATCATGGGATTACGACCACACCGCCTACTTAATTAGACATGTATTCGAGAATAACGTCAATAAGATTTCATCTTAGACCATATAGTACATGGACTGCTAATTGTAACTAAAATATGGTCAAGGACATCGCCTGGATATGTGAGTTTCAGGGTAAACGAGTCTGTCCGAAGTTGTCCGATGAGACACGATTTGAGACTGTCAACCTATAAATTAACAAACGTCAATTAATTAATCGCCTAGATATCCCAAAAAAAGCAAACTTATTCTTATTTGTGGACGTATAGCAAATAATGAAGAGCATTTAAAGCTTCCCGTACTACGCGGTTACTATAAAGCTGCTCTTTAAGCGATCCTAGTGGTGTTTACACGACTTTAGTTTACCCTGAGATTCACATACCCACGACTACAGTGCCCTCTATCCGTGACCATCCATTTTGTATTGAAAGCATAGGGCGAATAGCAGTCCATGTACTATATGGTCTAAGGATTTCATTGTATTTCCCTTATTTCTAAATTATATTGCAGGTATAAACAAATACTATAAGAAACAGGTGTATAATTGGTCTTTATTGTCTGCTGTGTTCTTGATTTTGGATCATCTTATATGCCGTATGGATTCTCGACCCCCACTAAATAGTTTCGATTAGAATTTTCCTTGATAATATGATGGATATTCGTGGATAAGTTCATGGTCTGTGCTCTCCATAGTAAAACATTCATTCATTATTCCAACATTCAAACCGCTATCAATATTTCAAACATCTTGCAATTTGTACGCCACTTACTCAGGACTGAGGACAATGCTAAGCTTCATGAGTAGGTTAATTATACAAAATTGTCCCCTCGCATGTTCTTGTTGCAATTTTTTAAATAAATAAATGGAAACACATTCGTTTAACGTTTGTGTTAAAGTTGGGATTGTAAATTTATACAAAAACATCACGCAATTTTCCTTTAGTGTCTCATCAAAAAACTAAAAATCCATACCTAAACAGAAGTTATCACCAGAAGACAGTGGTACGGCCTTGATACCACTTTCTTATTTATATATTTATGTTTACTTTAATATGGAATCAATAAACTTTTATTGGAATATTCGCATTGAATCGCACCGAAGCGTGTGACTCTTGCGTGAGCTACTAAAACAGATAAAGCTATGCTTCAAAAGCCAATTAGCCGATCATTTTTGGGCGTAATTTATTGGTATAGGTAAAGATATTGGTACCTGGCACCAACTGTTGGAACTGGGGTATTCCGTTATCTATCGCAATTTACTTCATTAGTTGAACTTGAGACCTAAAGAACGCAGTCTGGGTTCAATTATTACCTAAGTATTGATCAACAATGACATCTACTCCCGGTCAAGTAGAGGTGCACTAAGATATTCGGCATTATTGCATTCATCAACAAGGTACAATTTCTTTCAGGCGCCCAAGTTTATGAATACGTACAAGCTCGACAGCGATAAACCGTTTCACGTTGAAAAGGTGGAGAAGATTTTGAAACAAGTTTTAATGGAAGCTATGGAGAATTTATCGTACGATCCTGAGGAATGTCCGAAGCAGGCGAAGTGGGCAACGAACATGATAAAGACGCGCGTTAAGGAAGAAGAATATGACAGGTGCGATAATATGTAAAGGTAATTCAGGCATTAAGGCATTTTTCAGGTATAAGTTGATCGTTATAGTAACCATTGGAGAAAAAAGGTACCACGACATGTGCTCTGTGGTGAGATTTTTGTGGGACATCGAGAGGGATAAGTACGCACTTTTCGTGCACGACAACATGCACGTATTTGGGGCCGCCCTTTGCTTTGGAGTTTACTACGAATGAACTAAGACCCCACAATTAATTTATACTTAATTTGTTCATTAAATATGTGATAGTTTGCTGCGTTGCTGTTTTACCATTGCTCTCTAGTGTCTACTCATGCATTTTAGGCTTTCGTGCATTTTTCAGTTTTTTTTATAGTACCTACTCCCGAGGTTTGCTTTCTGCAACAAACCGTTCCGGGTCAAGCAGTATTGAAAGGTTTACTTATTCCGACTCCCCTCAAAAACTCAATTTTTCCTATCCTAACACATACATACATGTATTGCAGACGCATTAGTGTACCTATTCGTCCCATTTATCTGCATATTAGAAAATACCTTATTTAAAAACCGTAAATTCCCTTTTGGTCGGTGCCCACCTCCGACGTTCCGTTCACCCCCAATTCGCGTTTGAAGTTTGACACGTCCACTACTCCTCGAAAACGCGCGCCTTGCAAAAAGTGGTTAATTTTGCCCCTAGAAAAAAAACAAAATTCCCTTACGCGGAAATTGTATGCGTTTACAAGATCTTTCCAACAATTTGAAAACAATACAACCAAAAGTGGCCTTTTTGTAGATCCCATAATTTCAAACAGTTCCAAAATTGGGCAACTAGGTCAAAAATTACAGCCCTTTGAATTTTCTTTCGAAATTGGTTTCTAGTCTATAACTTTTGATTGAGAAGTCTAATCGAAAAAGTACGAATTGTTTTGGATTCTACGCACCAAAATTAATAAGAAAGTGTTTTCCCGAGAAATTTTGGTGTAGTCGATTTTTGGTAAAAAAGGAAGGTTATACACTGCCTTTTTTTGAGGTCCGAGAAAAAAATTGTCTCAGATCGACCCGAAAAAAAATTTTCTTATAGAATGTGGCCTGTAGATCCCATAATTGACTATTGACTAGTCTGTAGTGTGAACAGCGTATACTTTCAGTAAAATGTGAACAGCACATTTTGCAGGTTCACATATTCACATTTAACGGCCAGGTCACGGTCAGGACATGTTCATAAAAATACACGCTACAATAATTGACCGGACCGTGATCTGACCGATAATGTGAATTGGCCTTAAACTTCCAAAGGCGTCGCGACCGCCACTCATTGATTATCGCCCTTTATATTATAAAAATGAATATTTTATATTTGTATGCTTTCGGTTGTGCGACAATCTCGAAAAAATGAATCCTTTAGAATTTTTTGAGTTCGTATTAACGAGAGTCTACTGAATTGACATATAATGGAATTTAAATCAATCAATTCGACATTCCTCTACAGCCCTAAAAACAATTTCGTATTCACTGAAATATCAAATCCAAAATTTTACGATATTGTACGTAGGCAGTGGTTATTGAAACTCTAACAGAGTTGATGTACGAGTAGTATAACCCACAATGGAAGATTTTTTTGCAATAAATAAAACAGATATAAAAATAATCGGAACGGCCGGTTGCAGGAAGCGAATTATAAGCAAAATCCTACATTATTTGCCAAATCTGAGAATTTTGAAATTTTGATTGGCTGCATACTGCAGTATAAAGCCAATCAAATCAAATGTCTTAATACCGGATTAAACAATGATCCTGGATTTTTTTTTGTGCAACTGGCCGTCAATCTAATTACTATCTCAACGTCAAAGTTCATACAGTGAAACGATTCGTACTAAACACAAATAACAAAAACTAAAATTTGCCTTAATAGTACGGCGTCTAAAACTACCCCTTGAGTCGTTCAATCTTGGAAAACTGGGTCACACTCTCTTTAGGATTCGTGGAATGGAACCAAAAAATCGTTGTGGTTCAATCCGGGCTCGTAGGGAACTTCTGTTTGTAAAATTCTGTCTCTGACATTAATTTGTGTTGCTTATGGTTATACAGGGTGCGTTATTAATGCGTGAATTGAAAATTGTGGGTTTATTAACGCACATATTTAAAATTAATTGTCGAAACATGTTAAATCTAAGAATATTTTTAACGAAATTACAATCGTTATACCGGGTGATTCGGAATTCGTCATTTTCTTTCAAAAAGTAGATGTCACGTGGTCTCCGACAGCGTGCGACCTGCGGCAACGAGATTGAACAAACGCGGCTTGTAATTACGTAGTGAAGTTCCCTTGGAAACAGTAACTCTTGACAGTAACGCTTCAAAATCCAAACGTCGTTTGTCTAAATTTCAGATTATGAGTTTTCAGACAGACCCAGATGCAAGTGAAGGCGACAAGGAAGTATATGTCGAAACACTGCAAGACAATGAACCGCACTCCTCAGAGAGCTCGTTAGGGTCAGGCATTCCACCCGCTCCACCGTGCACCCCTATCGAACTATCGGAATGCACAGAAGTCGACACCAATGAACTACTCCCAAACACATTAACCGAGCAAACATCTGACATAGGTTTCTCATTTGCTAATTCGCGTGTAGGTACAACTTTCGTTGTTACAGTAATTGACGAAATCGAAAGACGCATCCGAATTTCTGAGGCGGCGCGTGAAATTTCATGCTCCTACATTAGCGAGGCGCTAACAGACGAATGCATTCTTTATTCGGACATCGAGACGTTTTCGGGGTACTTCGTTGATGAAATTATCGAAACCTCGATCGGTAGCTGCCTTCACATCTTTATGAACAACTGCTTATCTTGATGTTATAGGTAGATTAATACAAGAGCAAGACAAATTAGGAATCACCGTCATAATTGAAGGTAGGTAAGTCGTAAGGTATTCTCAGACACATAAACTTGTTGGGACTCTGGGCTTGGTTTTCCAGTATCCGTTATTATTATTGTATTTCCCCAGCTGCACGATCAACATCTCACACAAATTCGGCACTAGATTCACTTTGGCCACGAAACGGCGAGTTTACAAAAGAAACCGGAATGGATGCAATCCATGAATACCTCAGAACCTGGATTTATGTAGAAGATTGGTTATACTGCGTCGACTTCTTAATGGTCCAAAGTGACGAATGTAGCGAGTATTATCTGTACGAGGTACCTACAACCACCTTTTGCTCAATACCTACCAATTTTGAGCTGTTATTTTAAAGGCAAAGTTCAGCATACCCACACGGTGCTATCCCATTCCTCAAGCAACTGCAAGCGTATTTTTCACTGTTGAAGTTTCCAGAATTAAACCTCTATACTGTCCTGTGGACGTAAGAAATCGGTGATATGTTTACCTTGGAAAAATATACATTGTCTGTTTTAGATATCATACGTGTTTGAGGGGTCCAGTCTTGTGAGAGTCCCAGGAAAGGTGCCGTTCGACGAAAGTTTTTTATTTGACATTGTTGACGCCAAATTATCTTTATATAAATCAATTTCTTTCTAATTTTCTTTGTTACCCAAGCTACCCAAAAAAAATGTCTTTGAGTGGAGGAAGAATCCTTCCGTTTAAGTTACCTAAGTATCGTGCATTATTTTGTTCAGTTTTTAGCTTCCTAGCCCGAACTAGGTGGCTATTACGATCACCGTTTCTTGGACAAGTTACAATTTCAACGTTTTAGCTCATTTTAAGCAACTTTTAAAAAATAACATTTTTCATCTTTAACGGATCCGGAGTAAAAATAATTATTTACATAATAAGTCATGAAAGTGGTCGTTTACATGACTCGGAGGCTTATTGAAAAGTAGGAGGACGCGCAGCGTCCGAGTATCTCTCTAATGCCTCCAAGTCAGGTCACTTTCATGAAGTATTATGTATAAAATTTTACCTGAAACCACAACATGTAGATAACTTTTCCAAATTAAATTATTGGGGATTTACGATAATTCAACCGGTTTAACCGGGTTGGTAGACAATTGTTTCTATGGTGATTTCTACCAACCCGGTTAAAACGGTGGAATTATCGTAAATCCCCATACATGTGTGTGAAATTTTGATACCTAATCACGCATGCTAAAATCACTTTATTTAATTGTTTCCATAGAGATTTCAAAAAAATTAAAACAATCAATCAGTGTCATTTTTAATGCAGTTTATGCTTTGTACTATTCAACTATACAGTCTTTATAACTAGGTACAAAAGCAGGTATCAGTGAAGAAGAGTACCTACGCGAGACGTTGTTATAATGTAGCCGAAGCTGCGGCCGCCGTAGTGCAATATTAGCTTCCCACAGTCAAGAAAGAGATACAAAAAGGCGTACAAACCTTTTAATGACTGGCGCAAAACTAAAGGAATAATTACTTCCACACATATTCCATTAATTGTTAGTAATAAAAAACCATTATCCTTTGTGTAGGTATATTAATATTTAAAAATATCCACATAGTCTGCATTATAATTATCCAAACGTTGATTGAATAACTTATTCAATGAACGATCTAATTGTTATTTTGCAAGTACTAGGACTGTAATGGGAGTCTGGCAAAAATATTACAGTACTAGTCAGGTAAAGATCAACTTTCTAATGTCAAAATAGCCCTGAAATTTAGATTTTCTTGACGGTTTCAGGTAAAAATACGAGCTTACCGACGCCTTTTTAAAAACAATCAGTTCAAAATCAACAGTCTTACATTACATTTAATCTTTAATTATTGTTACATTAAACGTACAATTTGTGCTGTTGTTTCCTATAGAAAGAACACGTTCTTCATTTAAACCTGAAGCAATAGAGATCAATATGTTTGAAGATGTGCTTTCGTTTTTCTTAACACATTCCAATTACAATTTTGTTCTGTAAAGAATCTTCGACATAGGTACATTCGCCCACCGGATCGTAGGTTCTGGTTTAACCTACTGCTATTATTGCGATAGTAACCGCGACAAGAATCCTGACCCTCTTAAAAAATGTCGTGACTTTGTTAATATTACCGAAGTTATGGATTGTTCTGGAAGTTGCATATCTTATTATGGAAGTAAGTAATATGTTATCCAATACACGAATATCATCTACCGTTTTTTAGATCATGTATATGACAACAAGCGCACTATTTCAGCGACGAGGTTCTGTTCTTCGTATGATTGTACTGCCTTCGAGTCGTTCGGGGTGGAACATAGTACGAAGTGCAACAGCAACTATTGCAATGCTGACAAAATGGGTTAATAAGACCAAACCTCTCTAAGAATTGTGAACATTTTTCTGCATACCTACCTACTACTATCACTAATTGTTCTTTAATATTTTTGTTCTTTTTTCGTTTGACAATACCATGTAAACTACAGAATGTAATAATTATGTTGTAATATACGTATTTAGAGCGACAATCATTGTAAGCCGTCTTAGAGTCAGCTCTTATTCCCCTGTCATCGGCGACACCACTCCTGACTTCTCAAAGGTACGTGCTGCAGAAAAAATGGATGTTTAATATCAAATTAATCAGAGGGAACGCGGCCGAAAATTAGGAAATTAATCAAGTAGTAGTTTTTAGAACAAATAATCTATGTGCTTCAGCAAAATGCTCACATTTTTGGAAACTTATCGCCAAAGAAGATTCAGTGTGAATAATTGTATGGGATACCTAGAAACAAGCTGATAGAACTTTTTTCATCTATAGTGCATTAAATTAGCAAAAATATTTCGATTGGTAGTAGGTACGTGTTTAGATGAGTTACTTCTGCCAGAGTCCCATCTTCAAAATTGGGGCCGATTTAAATTCTGCAGGCCAAATGGTTGAGATCAGGTCACTACGTCAGAAGCTATGGGCAGTAAACCGGCCTCCATCGGGACCAAGTGCGCAACTAGTAACTCTACCCGGAAATGATTTGTGAACCAACTATTGGAGAGCTTGGGTTGGAACTCGAAGATCATGGCCAGCTAAGAGATTTGGCGAAATAAGTACGACTTTTGGTATGAGCCCATATAAAAGATAAGTACCTATGTAATCACGAACTTATAAATTAAGATGGGCTGCTAATGGTGAATTGACAAATGACACCTACATGGGGGCAGCCATGATGTGCACTCACTTGGCGCGAAATTCAAATCAACTAATAAACAAGCATTAACCTCACGTTTTAAATACATTACTGTGACACATGTCATTTTCCAAGGCTGCAATAGTCTCAAAACTTGAGCACTAGGAAAATTCCCCTAGAAAATAACTAAAAAGTGCACATCATGGCCGCGCCCATGCTAGGACCATTTCTACAGCTATGCAACTATTTGATCAGCCGTCCATCTTAATTTATAAGTTCGTGTATGTAATAGCTATAGCACCTGTGGTAATAGATAGTAGTTTCTGGTATTTAGACGCGTACACGTCTAATTTCGGCATAAATCTTAGAAAACAGAAGTGGTAAAGTGTTCAAACCTGGTTAAAAATTTGTGACGGGTACTCGTAAAAGTGAATAATAAATGTATTATTAATAATAATACCACTAATTTTTTGTTCTACTAATTAAAGTGATTATTCATTCCTTCTAAAATAAGTCAAGTATATCAATTTTTATAAGCGGCGTTTCATAAGATAGTACCAAATAAATTCAAGGTCAATATTATTATATGAGTAATCTTTATCAAAACAAACTCAATCTGGACTTCAGACACAGGTTCAAATGGTATTCAATAAGAAGACTCTCACACTGAGGCGATAAGTAATGAGCTATTGAATAACGAAATTAATTTTTCACTCAACGGCTATAATAATACATATATTTATAATAAACTACTCTACAAGTCTCAGGAGCAACAACGATTTCAATCGAATGGAAGGTGTTGCTAGTTACGGCAACATTTATTTCTGGCGATACGCAGTGCACGTTGAAAAGCCATAAATATTGCAGCCTATCAATATTTGCTTCGGTGACAGATAATGTCAAAATGATGTTGCTTATCGACAGTTGCTAGTTGCTCCAATGTGAGACTTCTAATTTAATAACAATGTAGAATTGGTACAGCGATATAATACTGCGTGTTGAGTATTGCCAGTTGCTTATTGCTTATCGCCTCAGTGTGAGAAATTCCCACACGAATTCAATTGTTGAACACACTACAACAAAAAAAGGATAAAACTGACAATTAGGGCATCACCACTCACCCCTTTAAACTTAAAAAAGGAAATGCAAATACTGACATTATATAAACATAAAAAACTTGGATAAAAAAAACGTAGTCCTACCCATCGCTTCTGGATACGTCAGTGAAAAAGATACAATGGGAAAAATATTACAAAATTGACAAAACCATTAAACGGCTAAAGCGGATGTTAACATATGATATATTTTAAAAATCTGAAAAAAAGATCTATTCAATTTTTGAAAATTATTAGGTTGGCAACTAAGTTCCTGCCGTTTTTTTTTAATCCTGACATTCCGCATGTCATTAAATATTTTTGGCAACTTTTGAATTTATTTGAACAATGAGGTATTGTTCAACCGGAAACTATGTTTTGTTTTTTCTTCGATTTAATTTCCGTTAATTGTCAGATCATTAAAATTGCATGTCAAGTTGAGAAAAATGAGCATTTTCGACACCTTAAACCTTTTTACCTTTAATTAAGGTTTTAATGCCGCAAAAACTGCTCGCGATATTTGTGCTGTTTATGGAGAGGGTACCATAGCTGAAACAACTGCACGTAATTGGTATGCCAAGTTCAAAATGGTAATTTTGGCCTCAAAGACGTACCTCGTTCTGGCCGTCCAGTAGATATCGATGAAGAGCGATTAAACCAACTTTTGCATACGTAAGGGAACTAGCAGAGATAATTGAATGCTCTCACACTGCTGTTTCATTTTTTCTGCATTTTTATCGCAATTCACGAAGTGAAAAAACAATCCGTCTCGTGGTCAACCATCATTTCTCTTTATAAGACACCCCGTTTCGAGATATTCGCATGTGAAATCCCCCCGGCCCTCTATGTTTGACATAAGCCATTAGTTTGAACTTAGCACAACTCACCCGACTTTTGACATATTTGTCGTAAGGAATCGACTTGCGTTTAATAGAAGGAGCCACTGTCGAAAAAAATCGCTCCATAATAATATGAAAGTTGAATCAGTAAATTTGTTTCATTTTTTTGGTGGAAAAGTGGTAGTTGTTGGTTCTTCAAAAGCCAGTGTTTATGTAACGAGAAATGGGAAAATACTTGAAAACAAATTTTTCGAAATCCTTTTGGGAAAATTAAAACTTTTACACATTACATTTGCCTCTATCATTGAATAATACAGATTAATTATTCAATGCCTCTATAAAAGGATACTGTCATTTCGTTAGGTCTTTAAAACTTCATACATGTTTTTCATAGTGTTTGTTTGCAATTGCGTATTGGAATTATGTCATTTTTGGAAATGAAATCCCTGTATAGCGGTCCTTATGTAGTACACGTACGTTCGTAATATTCTTAATCCCACATTAGTTCAGTGGGTATCTAGAGTGAAGGTTTCCCATAATCTTCAGTTATTAATTGATTACTTTCTCATGATAAAATTCTCAATCGGTATACCTACGCAAGCCAATCTTTGCTAATTGAATTATAAGTTTAAATGCGAATCCGAAATCGATATCAATTTTCTTTATTAGGTAAACCAATTACACTATAACCATAACTATTCACTCATCAGTTTGTAAAAGAGTGAGCTAAGTTCGCTATCGTGTGCAAGTACACAATGGGAAAAAATAAAGGTTACTATCCAAACTGCGATGCAACCATCTGGTTGCGCTCGTGCAAAAAGGAAATAATCAAGCCTATTAAAGGAAAAGCTTCGGGTAACTATCCAATATACGACCATTATGGCTATAAGTATTTTAATTACAGGAACGATACCATTTTGGATAAATGGTAGCTTATATCGAAATGGTCCAGGTTTACTAGAAATTGGTGACTGCAGGGTAGGCCACCTATTTGATGGATTGGGGTTATTGCACAAGTGAGGATTTGTACTGCCATTACAAGGAAAGTACTAATTTTGGTTCCAGATTTTCGATTAAAAACGGAACGGTAACATACCAGTGCCGTTTTTTGAGATCAAATACCTACAAAAGGAATATAAAAGCTAATCGAATTGTTGTGACCGATTTTGGGACAAAATCCGTGCCAGATCCCTGCCAGACAATATTTCACAGGTATCATGTTCAATCTAAAGCATCATACGTGTATGTTCCGCATTCCTATAAAATAGATGTTGCAGAATTGCGTCTACGTTTAAATGGGGAGGTGAAACATCCGACAATGCAATGGTATCAATTTACCCTTTTGGAGATGAACTATACGCTTTATCAGAAATGCCTTACATCCACAAAATTAATAAGAACAATTTACAAACAGAAGGAAGAATAGACTTGAAGGAAAAAATGGGGGTCGTCTGTCACTCTTCACACCCTCACGTAATGTCGAACGGTAATTTAATTTGGGACATTTATTGTACAGTAATTGTGCACAATTTCCTTAGGAACAGTATACTCTTTGGCTGTAACCGCATCAGTATTGGGCCCACAGCATAATATTGTTTGTTTCCCAAACAAACCTAAAAATCGTAGGTTAAGCATTTAAAGCGCCATTGTTCAAAAAAAGCAAAAAAGGCAAAATAAAAATAGGCTCAAATGCTTTCATTTTTCATGAAACGTATAGATCCAAAACTAATAACCATTACATTCTGCATTCAAAATTAACGTATAAACAAAATGCCATAAATCCGCACCATATTCATATACCCCCGTTCCAGCAAATGCATTTGCTTATAGTATTGTAACTTTATTTATACTGATTGCAAATAGTAATAAAACACTACAAAAAAAATTATTATGTGGTGGTAATCAGTGCTGAGTGCAGTCTATTTAATTCGATTATTATGTAAACCTAATGAAATAAAAAAACAATTGAGCAGTATGTTTAGGGGGGGGGGCGATCGCCCCCCCCCTAAAAACCGCCCCTGGTAGTTTTAATCCCGGAACTATTATTAATTTCTTTTGTCTTCTTTTTCTGCGTAAGTCTCTCTAAACGCTTCTATCTTCTCTTGGTTTTCTAATAATGTAACAATTTTAATTACTAGCTTATCAGAAATAAATGGAATTGTGCTATAAAACGACCCACAATCTGACTAATTATGTGTGAATAAAAAATTAAACCAAATTATTTAAAATATTTCATGACTTAAAGTAAATCTTGAAGAGACGCCACTGGCTTATTACGTTATCCTAATTCTGTTGTCTCAAAACTGAAAACTCCCATCACTTAAATAACCTCACAAAATTCGTCAACAAATTCGTAATGTGAAAAGAAGTGTATTATTTTCCGATTTACCAGTTTGTTACAAGCCGTCGATATTGTTAAACTTTACTGACGTATAAAATTTCTAGGGTAAAATGCTGAGCAGGGTGCATCAAATACAGTGTTGCTTACGACGACAGTTTGCAAGTTTACCTCTGAAGTACAATGTAGAGCCCTTAACGGAGAGAAGCCTGCTAAGAGTGTCGGGAACTGATGTTGCCGATTATTTGCAAGGTCTCATCACCAACGATGTTACTCACTTGTCACATGGTACTGGAAGTATCTTTACAATGTTCCTCAACACAAAAGGTCGCATACTTTTTGATGCCATTTTATATCGAACCGTTAGCGAAAATGTGTTTTTGATGGAATGCGATCGTCGTGGAATTGAGATGTTTCAAAAGCATTTGAAAATGTATCGTGTTCGACGGAAAGTTGATGTAAGTAGCGTCGATACAGAAATGTGTGTTTATGCCATGTTTGATCCACACCACACCGACAGTGGGAAGAGTGTGCATGAGATCTCTCGACATTTAGAAGGGTTGATTGTACCGATTGAAGAGCTGAACGAAATTTTACCAGAGACCTCCAAGACGTGCAAGATGTTTAAAGATGTGCACATTTATAGCGATCCGCGTGTGGCAAATTTGGGCGTACGACTGATTGCTCCGAGAAATCTAGACCTACGCAAAGAAATAGCCAAAGTTTTTAATGTTGAAAGTAATCCTAGTCAAGAGCGCTCATATCAGTGGCTTAGATACACTTTAGGTGTAGGCGAAGGTCTTGATGACCTACCAATTGACAACTCCTTTCCATTGGAGGCTAATTGTGACTACCTGCATGGCATAAGTTTTCATAAGGGCTGTTACATTGGGCAGGAGTTAACAGCACGTACCCATCATACTGGTGTGGTACGTAAACGATTAATGCCCCTATACTTTAAAGACCAATTGAAAAGCATCCCAGAAGACAGTAAGATTATAAGTGAGAGTACCAATTTGGGAAAGTTACGAGGTGTGACTGGAAATGTTGGCTTGGCTCTCTTAAGAATTGAGAAGGCGTTGAGTGTTAGTCAAATTTGTGTTGGTGATGGAATTGCCACGACATCCAAACCATTTTGGTGGCCTATTGAAGCACCAAAAGAAAGAACTAGTTTGTCAAAGAATTAATGATATAATTATTTATTTATTATCAAAGTCTATTAAATGTGTTGATCTGTTATATAGTAGCTTGCTTTATCTAAATAATTCTATTAAGCTTTTCTTGAACAAGTTTAGGAAAGTTGTATCTGCAACTTTTAGCACAGGGCATACAGTAAGTGCCATTAATGTAGAAACTGCAATTACTGTCTTTACAGACTGATATTTTACACTGAACACAATGTGCTCCTAAAATTAAATATTCCCCACGTTTTGGAGGAGCGAAAGGATCTTCAAGAACATAGGAATCTTCTTTTAATTTGTAGTTACGCACAAATTCAGGAGACTTCCCAAAGTAATCGTAGCGTTCATGCAAATTACATAATTTACAACTGAAATAGCGTTTTTCTTCACTATATTCTGCCTCATCAGTATTTTCAGGTTGTTTTTCATCTTCCCCACTCATTAGTAACAAATTAATAATTTTTATAAAGTAAGTGGCTCTATTTGAAAAATGAAATTCAAGAAATTGAGGTTAGATGTTATGTTTTGTACTGGGATTTTGAACAATTGGGATAAAATATACAGTACGCGTCAATATACAACGCTACTCTATTGATCCAATACAAATTTTTCGTTTGAATATGGGAGATTGCATAACGAAAATCTAAACAGCCTGTGTGAATAACAGGAATCTGGACCTATTGAAAATAACGGTTCCGGTTCTGACACCTATATTGCAAAAATATTTATAAGGGTTTCGGTTCTAAAAATAATTACGGTTCCGATAACGTTTTTTTTTATTCTAAAGATCATTATGTTGAATCTTTTTTTTAGTTCACAATGGTTTTTTTCGGTTTCAAGTGAAAAATGGTTATCAATTATGCATACGCAACAAACCGAAGCCTGCCTAGCTGCTTACTTGTTTCAAAATTACAGTGGACTTGGCTGGGAGATGAACCTATATCACAGGGTGACTGACAAAGACAGAAAATATTTTGTTAGTATTATCATAGACAAAATGTTTATGATCATTGTTGGATGATGTTCGTCCCATTCTTATTTCGCAAATCGTATTCACACAAAAAAGGGGTGATAGGTAACTAAGAAAAGTCGAGACTAAAAAACCAAATATTCAACAAATTTATTTAAAAAATAGTGGTAGCTAAATTACCCCCCCCCCCCTCTTTTCCGAGCAGGTATACCCATAAAAATTTTTAAAACACAAAAAACCCGTAAAAATCGTAAAAAAATTATGAGTTCCGGTTCTCAGTAAATTTTTTAAGGGGAGGAATTACGGTTTCGGTTGTGATTTCGGTTCTGAAAATACAAACCCATCTTCCGTACAACACTTTCCCCCGGCAAACTAGAACAATATACCTTACTAAGGGCCGATTCTACAATTACACTTTTCCGCAGAATAAGATATGCTTGAAATAACTACCATAGCAATATGTATCCCATTGGTTGACACAATATTGTAACCAACGCAACCGTCAACATTTATTCTAGGTATGTCTTATTCTCGGTATATACATGGGGAAAAATGATGTCCGTTATAAATCGGCCCTTAGTGGAATAGACGATATAAAAAGTGTGTAGAAACACGAGGAGTGTAATTATCAGCTTTAGGGACGAGCCCACATAACGTGGGGTTGGCGACATCTGGGCGCCATCCTCGAGCGTGGGTTACTAACGTGGCGATTTTTCAGTTTTTTCCTATCTTCTTCTACAGTTGTGGTTCGATTGTTTTCAAGCTGGTGTCATAGGAAAGAACTCTTCGATCTCACACGATGACTTTTTTAACGGTAACGGTAGTCCTGGATCGGTTACTTTCTTATTCTGACGATCTCGTTAGTTTAGCAATAGCATTGAATATGAAGTACTTATTCAATGGCAATAGGCTCTTACAATGCTCAATTTCTCTCTCTCAATCTCAATCTCAATCTTTGTGCGCAATGTTTTAAAAAATTACATGAGTACACGCTCTTGAAATATAAGGAAGGATACACCTAACGGTGTAAAAATGTAAATGTAAGGGTATATATATTTTTTTTTGGCATAGAATCATTGAATTAAGCCGTTATTCAATGATAGAATGAAAGAGTATAAACATACCTACATTTGCGTAAAACGGCATGTCGAAATCATTTTCCATTCATGAAATATAGTAAAATAATAATTCATTTAAGTATGCTTTCAATAAAAAATTATACTTATTCCAGGGTATACTTTTGACATCCCTTTGTTTAGGTCGGGCGATCAAAAATGAGTTGCTGCCGAGTCGCCTTTGGAAGTTCCAGTTAAGTACAATTTCCTATGTAAACAAAAATTCCAAAGGTGCTGACTCGACAGCAACTCATTTTTTATCGTATAGTATAAGAATTATTCCAAATAAAAAGCCTTGTCTCGCATTATTTATTCTACTTTAAAAATTGTGGCTTTACAGAACATTGACCTAGGATATCCCAATTTAGTTGTTTCAGTACTTGCTAGCAAAACTCATTGTATCTATGGAAACGGATTAAATTTGATTTGTTTAAGGTTTTTGACTAATCAAATGTATTATATTATTCTGTCTGCCTATCAATCTGGCGTCTGGGATTGAGGCGAGAAGTGCGCGTTGGAGGGTCAAAACTACAAATCAAAATACCTCGAGAACGGAGAGAGAAACGCATCCTTCTTGCAGTTAGTTTGCAAGTCATATTCCTTTTGAACAGGTAGGCCTCTGTAGGCAAGAACACTGAAGACATAAAAATAAATTTTGTTTTGTCTTACATTCCTTTTCTTTCATAGATTACATAGAAATGACCCTTTTCGTAAATCCACAATATGCCCTTACAATTTTGGTATGATGCGAATCCTCCATTTTTAACTATTAAATGAAAGGAAAATTCAAATTATTTTAATTGTGTAAACCCCAGATTCCATCAACATCAAATTCCTTGGAGACCTAAGGAGAACGCTTTGAATTAATTTTTGCATTTGTTCCTACAAAGTTTAATGCAGAATTGCAACTTGCAAGTCAGGAAAAGATACATGATCTACAGTCCCAATTAGGCAGGTACTTAGATTAGGTTTAAATATAATATCTTTGAATATAAAACCAAACGCAAGCCTTCTGCGTACCTATAGGTAGGTATGTCAACTTTTTACGCAGATTTAAAAGTCTACTATAAATAAGAGAGAGACACTTGATCTTCTGAAAGCCATCTACATTCAAGGATAGTCCCTTGGTGACAAAACTTTATACCTATACGGCGTGATATGTCCATTTTTCACTCTATGGTATTACCAAACTAGTAGCACTCATAAAATTTTAATGGACTTTAATTAATGTTTTTAGTTGAGTCGTGTTGAAACGATACATAAAGTTACTAAAAGTTTTTAGATTTTCTGTAAAATGGCGCAGTACTGGCAGGCAGAAATTAATTATTTCTTTCATTAGCAGAAGTTTATTAATTAAGGAAGCGCTGCAGATTCGTCTTCTTGTTTGCATTGCGTCATTTTCCTCTTCTACAACCCTTTTGAAGAGTTTTGTGATGAGATGAAGTTTAAAATTGAAACTTAAGAACAGCTCGCATATCAAAATTAATTATGTATTTATGACTGAAATATTAATTTTGTTAGTCGTTGCTACAAAAATTAAAGTTGCTCGTAATTTAAAAAATAAGCAACGCAAACGTAATGAAATAATTTTTTTGTAGGTACATTAATTGCCTAAACCAAATTCAGGTATGCACGCACTGTGTACAATTTATCCACAGAGAATATATAACATTCTCTAAGGGCTCGTTATATACACTGATAGGAAATTGCCTCACTTGGCCGCAATATGTTGGACATTGCAAACAGTGACGTCACACTCTGTAAACAATGCCCTTCATTATTACATGTGTCGCACCCTCTTATTTCAGAAAACTCGTCTCATTTCTTTTCCATTGCGCTGCGTTGGAAATTGTTGGATTGTTATTGTTAAGGGTGAAATGCAGGTTTATTTCTAGTTTTCTACATCTTATTTCAATGAGGTATGCGAATATTAGGTCCCATTAAAATCTTGGTAATTTTCGAAGGAGGTGCAATTATGATTAAAAGTAGACGCCTTTTCTGTTAATTAGGATAATATCTAAATTAAAAACTATGTGGGTAGAACCGAGGAAAAATAATTATATTTGAATAGGCCATGAAATTCAAAATTGTCATAATGTGATATTAATAGATCCAAAACTTTGGGTTGATTTATGACAATAAAATTTGGAATCGTTGTTACATAAATCGTGAATTTTAAATATCCCGTCAAGATCAAAATCGATACGTTACCCGATTTATGACCATTTACACCGACAAATTTAAGCTCGACTTGTTTAAGCATATCTTAAAATCTATGACAACGATTATTGCGACAGTGCTTGCCATGAATTTTGTAGCGTTATTTTCTTACCGCTTAAGTAAATATTTGATTTGCGCTCTTATTTAAATTCTTACGCCATCTAGTCCTTTGTAATCAAGTAGTTTAGATGTAAGTTGTTTCTGTAGTAAATTTGTTCCAAGTGTTATAGATTTCTTATTAGTTCTATGTTTTGCCGATGGAGGTCGCGCAAAGATTTATTTTCAATTCTTTTCGGCGCACGCACTTGTTGTACAAAACGACATTCACTTATTGCTTTAAGAAGAATGTACACGCCACCCTGGTTGCTCGCCATTTTTGTCTGCCTTTTGGGATTTATTGTAGCTGTATGGTTTTTCTCTTGTTATTTTGCTTTCGACACTTCGCTGACGCTGTTGGGGATATATTTTACAAGTTCATCGCCATTTTCGGTATGTAACAAAAATTACGCATTACCTTTTGACTTTGAAAAATGGTTTGGCTTCTTACTTTTGGCTTACTCTTTTCTTTATTGTTACCTACTTCATTTGCTTTCTACGTCAATATTCCTGAGTGGAAACCGCAGAATTTTGGATTTTCTCAATATTGCGCAAGGAAAATTCATTGGGGGGTTCCACCGCCATCTTATCAATTCAAGCACGCTATAGATGAGTTTCTACCTTACCGACAGATTCCAGTGAAATTAATTACGTGATACCAACATTATCTGTGGCCTACTTACATGGATTGTAACCGCAAGTATTAAGGAAACCGTTTGGAGAACGCTCCAATATACCTGATTTTACGTACATCACTTTTTGTCGAGACTCGATTTTGTGGAAGATTACTTTTGTGTCTCCGAGAATTCATTTCCTTTAGTTTGATTACATTGGATCCTTCCGATTAGCTGTGTTATTTGAGATATTAGCTACCGTTGCTTTGTAAATTGGTTTTTGAAGTTACCTAGACTTTGTCTGAGACCGATATTTACAATTTTTGTTATGCTACTTGTTTTACTCCGAAGAAATTTTTCATACTACCTGATTTTGAAACAATTAGACTGCATTGCCGTCGAATAGAAATGTAGTTATTTGTGAATCGTAAAGTACTTGTCTTGAATTTAACGTCACGTTATGCTTGTAGAGAGATGTGGTATAGATAATCCGTGGTCTATCAAAATTTTGCTTTTACTAGTGTAAGTCATTTAAATTATTGATTCTTGGGAGTATTAATTATAGTATAATTACAGTATTAGCCTGATCAGTGTCAGACGTTAGAATTGCTATTTCGCAATATTTTGTGCTGCGCTATACACTACCCCTCTTATTTGTTTGTTTGTGTTCTTCTCTGTTACCAATAAGGCAAAAAGCGTCCTTCTTCAGCTCAAAAAGGCCGTTGCGATCTTTAGTTCAAAAGGTAATCTTTTTATTATATATTATATATTATATATTA